CACTTCTAAACCTTTTTTTTTTTTTTTTTTTTTTGGTAGATAAGCTTGGCTGCAACTCAGGGGTGGCCTCATCTTCCCGCCCTGGGCTGGTCTCACGTTGTCACTGCCATTTGTTACATTGACTTCTCTCAAGTTGAATCTTCCGTCTAAATGCAGTTTGTCCACAAGAGCCTTGTGATCTGGATGTGTGCACTGGTTCTCTTTAGATGATCGTCTTTGAAGTTCAGCAAAGCTGCTTGTTCTCCCATGGATTCCTGTCCCAAGCTACCTCTACCAACCCTCTCTCCAGCAGGACTTTTCTGCTTGCCTCCTCCCCTCCCATCCACTCTTTAACGTTCTGCGGTTCACCAAATTGATGGTCCATTAAATTCACCTGTCTGGAATGACTCCTCTGCCAGTACTTGACCAATTTCATGTTGCAATCTGGATTTTTTTTTTTTTTTATGGTATGATGCCTATGTTTATTGAAAAGGTTTTACCTAACAAGCTAACATTTGGTTTGATTGCAGCATAGAGAACAAACACTTTTCCTTCTTTCAAAATTAATCAACTCTTAAAAATGCCATTTGATTTATTTCATTAAAAAAATAATCTATGCAGCACTTCAAGAAACAACTATATGGTGTTGTATATTATAAACTGGTGAATTCTACTATTAAATTATGTACAACATTTTTGGTTTTTTATGCTTCTTGAGGTGGTAATGAGAAAAAAGTTTTTTTAAAAAGTGTGCCTTGCTGTATTTCTTATACCATTTATTAAAAAGCTGCTTTCACGGTAAAATTATTTTGGTTTGAAAGGAGGAAATAGCAAGGTTAAGATGTGTGAATAATTTCTGTATATATGTATAACCAAGTACAAACATTGATGTATAATGACAGTCTAAAATGCTTTCATGTTTGTGATGTCTCGTGATGTGGAAAATATAAGCCTTAAATCCATTAGATTGCATGGTAATTAAAATTGGCATAATAAACATAGTTTATTGGGGGAAAAGGAAAATTAGTGATCTCTTCTACCTGTGTTCTTTACCAAATTGTTGCATCTGGTTCTGGAAATATATAACATGTAGCAGCTTCCAAAATATCCATATTACTTAAAAGGCTTAAAATTACTTAGAGACTAGACATGAAGGCTTCATGATTTTCAAAATCTTTCCAGTCACTCTAAAGATCATGGAACAGCAAATGGTTAAACACCAGTCTCCCTAAACCAATTTCTACTTATCATTAATGGTTTAATATTGGATTTCAGGATATCTTGTATGTCTTAATTTATTTTAAATAATTCTTTTGAATGGGTTTGATAGAAAGATGATAGAAAGGTATAGAAAATGTCACTATTATTTTGATTTAGACTATACATTTCAGGTATATTTATTTTGTGTAAAAGAAATTAGCGAAGAAATATTCTATTTGG